TGGGGAATGGCTGGGCAAGCTATGGTATATGAACGTGATGGAATACTATTGTGCTATAAGAAATGATGAACAGGCTGACTTCAGAAAAACTTGGAAAGACTTGTATGGTCTGATGCTGAGTGAAGTGAGCAGAACCAAGAGAATGTTGTACACAATAACAGCCACATTGTGTGATGACTAATATTGATAAACTTAACCCTTCCTGGCAATACAAGGATCTAAGACATCTCCAGAGGCCCTGTGATGTAAAATACTATCCACACCCAAAGAAAGAACTATAGAAGCTGAATTGTTATTTTTTTCTCTTCTGTTGAGTTTTGTTTCCTCTTTCTGATGGTTCCTCCTATTGATTTTAATTTCTACTTACAACATCACTAATGTGAAAATATGTTTAATATGAATGTAAATGTATAGCTTATATCAGATTGTGTGCCGTCTTGGGGAGGGTAGTGGGGAGGAAGGGGGAGAAAAATTTTAAACTCAAAAGCATATGATTATTGATAAATCAAAAAAAATTAATAAAAAAATAAATAAAATTTAAAAAATAAAATTATCTCCCGTGATCCTCACAATAACCCTGTCAGGTATGTCATTATCCTCATTTTTACAAATGGGGAAACCAAGGATGAGAGGTTAAGTGACTTGCCCAAGGTCTCACAGTTAGGGGTTGAGGCAGGACTCAAACTGATCACCGTGACTGCAAATCCAACACTCTACTCATTAGTCCATCTAGTTGCCTAAAAGTATCATGATTTATTGGAAGATGAAACAATCTGGCAAGGACAGGAGATCAAATTAATACATAGTGGTAATAGGGGCAGCTAGATGGCTCAATGGATAGCACATTGGCCCTGTAGTAAGGAGAACCTGAGTTCAAATTTGACCTCAGATGCTAGCTGTGTGCTCTTGGGCAAGTCACTTAACTTTGATTACCTACACACACACACACACACAGTAAATTTGGATTGCTAGAGGAAGTCAGATTATATGTCAAGATGAGGTTATTTTGTTTTAAACCTTTAACACCTTTAAACCTCCAGTGACAAGGAAGGAGTTGAATTAGGTAACTTTTAAGGTTCCTTACAGTTGTAAGTAGGAAGAGAATCAGTGCTCAGAACTCCTACTCTAATTCATTGGTATTACATTAATTTTTCGGGTTTTTTTTTTGTCAAGAGTCTGAGGACGGATTTGAACTCAGGTCCTCCTGACTCCAAGGCCAGAGCTCTAGCCACCTAGCTGCCCACGTTAGTTTTTTAAAAATACATTTTTATTGATACTTTTATTTATATTACCTACATTTGACGAGGAAAAACCCCTTTCCTCTCCCCTCATCCCTTATAATAGAGAGAAAAAATACCTAGCAAAACCAGCACACTGAAAACATCTGACATTTTCTATGCATTGATCTGTGTATATGATTGTTTACTTTTAAAAATAACCAAAACAAAATATTATTGTATTTAACTTTTATCTTACAGATAATTAAAAATACCCTGGTGGTACGGGATGGGGATCATAAGCCAGAGATGGGAATCATTTGAAAAAGGGTACGCTTTAAAATTTAGATCTCCACTCTCCAAGTAAGATTTGGAGTTCATCTTTTGTTGGTTCTGAGACCAAATGAATCAATGAGTCTTAAATAAAGGGAAGGAAATGTGCCATTAAAACCTTAATATAAATTGTTTGTTATGACTAGGTACCATAAATAATCACCTTTAGGCCTTTGGTAGAGAATAAACAACAATTAGGATCAATCTAATTATAATAAAAAATAACTTACATAATTTCCCAAACCTTCTGACAATAAGTCTACCTCTTAAAAAGCCCTACAAATTAGGTAAAATAAGGAACTCATTCAACCTAAGCTAACAAATGAGAAAACCTCACTAATGCTTGGAAGGACATATCATAATAGGTCTTTTCTCAACTACCAATTCACACATTTAATATGTTCCTTTTACTTTTTCATACTTTGTGCTATATGAAACTTTTTTCTTTTGCATTAGCATATTGTTTTTCCTCCTTAGCTTGTCTGAAATATTATAAACCGATGTTCAGTCATGTCAGGCTCTTTATGACCCCGTTTTGGGTTTTCTGGGTAAAGATACTGGAATGGTTTGTCATTTCTTTCTCCAGCTCATTTTACAGATGAGGAAACTGAGGTAAACCTTGCCCAGGTTCAACACAACTACTAAGTGCCTGAGGCCACATTTGAACTCAGATGAGTTCCTGACTGCCCTATATCTACTGTGCCACCTAGCTGTCCATATGAATAAGTGGATCTATATCAATGCTTTTTGATAGAATGAAAACTGTACACATATACAAGTACATTCATTTACTTAAGTAGTTTCATCTACTGATATCTTTCTAGTAACTAGTTTTTTTTTTCTTTTCTTCAAGCATAGTATGCAACATTTCTCTAGGCCAGGCTATCTTTTAGATCCAGAGTTGTTTTTGGTTTTTTTTTTGCCTTTTGGTGAAGCAATTGGGGTTAAGTGACTTACCCAGGGTCACACAGCTAGTGTCATGTGTCTGAGGCCGAATTTGAACTCAGGTCCTCCAGAATCCAAGGCCAGAGCTTATCTACTGTGCCACCCAGCTGCCCCTAGATCCAGAGTTTTGACACTGGAAAGTATCTTACTGATGCTCTAAGTCTATATTACAGATGTAGAACCCAAAAAGGTTGAACAATTTACCCAAGATCACAAAGCAATTTACTGGTAATGTCAGTTTTGAAATCTAGGTCTCCAACTCCTGTTTTGTCTTTTTATTGGTCACTAACCAAAAAAAAAGAAAAAAATCATATTGAAGCTCCTGACTTTTCTGCTTAGAGATATCGATAGGTACACAGCAAGGGCTGGTAGATTGTAGTATCCTCTCCTCTTGGGAAATGGTGCCAAGCCCACCCACAATATCAGTGATAACCAAGCAGTACAGAATATTATTTAAACCATTTGCCATTTCCCCTGAAGAAACAAAACTTTGTTATAAAAATCACCCCACAAATTGAATTTTTATACAAAAGATTCCTTTAGAGTGTGTTCTAGTCTCTAGAATTGCTTTACACACAATTAGATGATATAAAGACTATAGAAGAATAAGCTTCAAAAGAAAATTTTTTAATTTACTTCTATTGGTAATTTCTAAATTTCCTTCACCATATTATATGAAGAAATGGGTGGTTCAATATCACAATAGGCACAAACATTAGTTTGAGTACGGCTGAATTAGTTCAACTTTCTAAAGGCAATAAATTAATTAGCCTGTAGAAGGGTACAATTCAATTCAATTTAACAAACATTTTTTAATGGCCTGCTATAAACAGGGCACTGAGGATACAAAGCCAAAAGTGAAATACTTCTTTTCATCTACATTCTCATTTGATTTTCACAAAAGTCCTATGAGGTGGGAATTACTATCATCATTTTACAGAGGAAACTGAGGCAAAGACTCATAATCACAAGTTCTTTGGTGATAGTGAGAGGCAGCATGAAATAAAAGACAGCACTGGACCTGGAATTTGGAAGATCTGGGTTCCTTGACAGCAGGAACTGTCTTTGCCTCTTTTTGTGCCCCCCTCGATTACCACAGTGCCTGGCACATAGTACACGCTTAATAAATGTTTATTACATTGAAAAAAAAAAGACAATTTCTCTGAACCTTGGTTTCTTCATTTGCACATATCTCAGTTACATAGATCATGTATGTACAGCACTTTGCTATACATATGAATGAGCTCATTCATTTTTCAGAGCACTAACTCTGTTGCAGACAAGCATTTCATTTCATTGAAGCAAACATTTTCTATCTGGAAGCTGGAGGATGCAGGCCTGCACTCAATTCTACTTGCCTTCAGGCTCCAGAGCATTAACTGCCTCCTCAGAGCACGCAAAAATATTTATTTGCATGTTTCTATTGAAGCGCACGGTCCATTCTTCCATTTGTGGCATAGGGCCAGTGCACAAGAGACAGAGAGCGGTGGCTCATTTAAACTGTAGGGCCCCAAACAAGAATGTCCTAAAAGGGCCCAATGCCTTGAGTTCAACGCAAAGTAACCAAACTTCCAAGAGCGACCTTTTTGTTTGGAGCCGCGGGCCCCTCCAGGGCCGAGCCTGCCCAGGCTAAAAAGAGCAGCACAGACAGACAGACAGACAGACAGACAGACAGACAGACAGACCGACCCTCCCCACCCCCCACCAGCAAACAGGCTTTTGTGCCACGGTGGGGAGGGGGGTGCACTCACCTCCGCCCGCCCCCTAACCCCTCCCTCCGGCTCTCCTCCCCGCCTCCGCTCCCGCCATTCCCCCTCCCGCCAGTGTAGCACACTAAGGTCTCCACCGTGCACCCTGGAGTCGGCGGGAAGCAGCTCGGCTGTCGGTCATCACGTGCTGCTGCCGCCGCCGCCGCCGCCGCCACCCGAGCTCCGTTCTCCAGCTCGAGAGGAAGTGGGCGGGGAAAAGTATCTTGGAAGGGAACTGGGGAGGGGGAGGGGAAGAGTGGCGGGAGGAGAGGTACACGCCGCCGAGAAACAGGAAGCGGCTGGGAGGTCTGAGCCATCCCAGGGTGCCCCGCGCGGCGTGGACTCGGCCGCTGCCGCCATCCCGCTGGCTAATAGAGCGATAGAGAGCGGAGGAGGAGGAGGAGAAGGCCCGGACCGTAGCTGGCCTGCCCGCCCGCCCGCCCGCCGGCTTCCTGACCCCGAGTGTAGGTGTATGTGCGTGCGTGTGAGTGAATGAGTGAGTGATTGTATGTATGTGTGCGCGGGGGGCCGTGTCAACGAGACGCCGATCGCAGCCGCCACCGCCGCAGCCACCAAACGGACATGTTGGAGCCCAGCGCCGCCACCGCCTCCTCTTTTTTTCCTTCCTCTGAACGGGACTGAACTGGGGACCTGGCCGTCACCGCCTCCGCCTCCTCGAGCCGCCGCTAGCCCCCCATCTGCCGCCTCCTCTGCCCGGACCTCCACGTCCTAGCCAGTCTTCTCCCTCTCCCGGCCCGGCCCGACCTCTCCGCCCCGCTCCCCCGCCGGCTCCCCCTGCAACGCGAGGTCTATGAAACCGGCGGGGCCCGGAGCAGCCGCCGCAGCGCGAACATGGACGCCGTCAACGCCTTCAACCAGGAGGTGAGCGGGCCGAGGGGGCCCCGGGCCTGGGGGAGGAGGCGGCTGGGGCGCCTGAGATCTTCTCCTCCAGCTTGCCCAGAAGGGGAGGAGGAGGAGGGCAGGGGAGGAGGCGCCTAGCTGCCATTCAGCCGAGCAAACAGGGCCGCCCCCGGCACCTTCCCTTTCCCGCTCCTCCCGACTCCGACGCTTTGGCGTTGCCGGGGGGTCGCTTCGTGCCAGTTTGGCGGAGGGAGGGCGGCGGGGCCGGTAGTCGGGAGCGGCCTGGAGCCGGGCGAGGTCACTGCTTCCCCCATCCCCCCAGCCTCCCCCCGTCCCCTCCCCCACCCCTCCCTCCTCCCGGGGCGTGGACCTCTCTCCCCGCGGAGCCTTGGCCCCTTCCCCTCCCCCTCCCCCTGTTCCTGTGAACTTCTCTCCCCGCTACCCAAGTGTGGCGGTTCTCTGCTCCCGCTGAGTGACCAGCCTCGCCGTGCCCCGGCCGGGGGGGGGGGCCGAGGGAGGGACACACGTGTGTGTGTGAGTGAGAGAGAGTGAGTGCGTGCGTGCCCTCCCGCGCAAGAGTGTGGCGGGTCGGTGGGCCTGCTGGCGGTGTGCACTCTGATCCTGAGAGCCTGTGGGGGCCCCTCAACCCCGGGCATTCAGACTGAAGCAGTGACTGCGAAGCTCACCCCTTCCCCGGGGTGTTAGGACCTGAGGGAGGGAGGGCAGGCCAAATCTGCCCTCAGTGCATTAGTTAAACCTCGGGTTCTTCCGACCGGGCACGTTTACTTGTGAAAAAGCCTGGGGGAAAAATACTCCCTAGTTATACTTTAATTCTCTAACTCACCACGCGTTACTTTAGTTTGAAGGATAATTTAAAATTCTGGTGCTGCGAAACCCACTTAGAAATTTAAGACCGTTGTAATGGTGAGAGTTGGATTCCCTTATGTCTCAGTCTTCACCAGTGGATTAATGATCGTATATAAAAGATCGGATATTAAGCCTCCCAAAATTCGTTAAATGTAGTTTCTCGCACAAAAGTTGCTATTCTGTTTTACTGTCAGCATGGTGTAATCGGTTACACTTAAGTTCTTTACTAAGATTTATGGGGAAGTAAATGTTGTCTTAGGAGTGACTTTAATCCAGTTAAGGATGAATTGAGAATGATAAAGTAGGAACAGACACTTTTGGAGGTGTCCAGCAAAACTTCTCTGTGGTTGTTTCTAATAAAATAGGTTTCAAAGCTGTCACCAAAATTGATGCAGAGAGAGGGTTTGTAATAATATGCCAACCATTTCTAAGGTGAAAAGTGACATGTGTATCAAATGCTTCGCAAACCTTAAAGCCCTGTATGTATAAAAGTCAGATGTTACAATTCCTGGCTAGATTACAGTGTTACTTTTTGTTGCAAGAGTTTTCACCCCTATTCATAAAAGTTAAAAGGAATTAATTTTTTAATCAGCCTAATTTAGACTAGGGACTGAAGCTGGATAAAAGCACTCAGCAGTATGTGAATTTCATAATAAAATCTTGTCTTTTTTTTCTTTTCTTTTTTTTTTTTTTTTGGCATCGTGGACTCCTTTGGCAATCTGGTAAAAGTTTATGGACGCCTCAAAAGGTTTTTAAATGAACAAAATTAAATATGTAAGATTACAAAAGAAACCAATTATATTGAAATATAGTTATCAAAACATTTTTTAAAAACAAATTCATGGACCCCAGGTTAAGATTTTAACTTTGACCTTCAAGCTCTCTTTTCTTCAGTCAATAATTATTTACTCTGTCTTTTTAAGGCACTGTGCAGGAGGTGGGAGTACTGTATACAAAAATAAATAAGTTAATACTTATAGTTTGTAAGAAGTTTTTGGACCAATATTTATGCTTATGTGGTAAATTATGTAGAAACTTTTGTGTGCATAAGCCATTTGTTATGAGCTTGCCCATTTCACCACTCTTATAAATTCATCTCCACTGACCAAAAAGGTTAGTGCTAAATGTTATATCACAATTGGTACTTGAGTCAACAAAAATGGTTAAATATGTCATTGTAGAAAATGAGTTTTGACTCTTTTTTGATATAGTTCTTTTTCTAGATGTTTACTAACCAGTTCTTTATTAATAATATATTCTAAATTTTTCCCAGGAACAGAAGTCAAGCTCCCTGTTTTTGAAAATTGGGACATTTGCCTGTCTCCAGTCTTGGGTTACCACTTTTGTTTTTTCAGTATCATTTATGTTCTAACAGTAACAAGTGTATCTTCTGATTGTTTGAATATATTGGCATGTAGTTTCTTTTGGGCCTGGTGATTTGAACTCTTCCAGAGTAGCTTGCTGTCTACTTACCTTGGGTTTCTTTCCCTAGTAACTATTTTGTTCTCTCTTTTTCATTCCAAGGTTCATTGTCTTTTGGCAGAGAAAACAGTAACAGAATGTGAGTTTAGTAGCCTTGTCTTCTTCCATCATCCAATTTAACTCCAAACACAAACACTGTTGTACAGTGTTTTGTCCTTTCTTTGATTTTCTTTCTTTCCCCAATATGTCTTTTTTTAAAATGTCCATTCAGCTCATTATGAGCTTTAGCCCTCTAATTTTCTCATTCAAATGGGTTTTCCCCTACTGTTTACAAAATGATTCAGATCACTAGCATCATTAAAAAAAAACCCTTCACTTGATCTTACTATCTCTTCAAGCTATCCCTTTCACAAACTCAGAGAAAAAGCCATCTACACAAGTTGTCCCCATTTTCTAACTTCATTCTTCTCAAACCCTTGCAGTCTGCCTTCTAACCTCCTCACTCACCTGAACCTGTTCTTTCCAAGGTTACCAGTTATCTCTAATTGCCAAATTTGATATTTTTTCTTAGCTCTACTTCTTGATTTCCCTGCAGCATTTGACACAGTGTTAACCATTTTTTCTCCTTTTGTATTTTTTTTCCCTCTTTGGGTTTTCATCACACTTGGCTGCTCCCTTCTTCTCAGTTTCCTTTGCCAGGAGTATCATCCTTGTCCCAAGTTTCTTTCCCGAATTCTTTTCTCTCTCTATACTTCGTCACTTGATTATTTCTTTGCAGATAATCCCAGGTATAGATCCAGCCCTAGGTTCTTTACTAAGTTTCTGTTCCTCATTTCTAGCTGACTATTAGATATTTTTTAATTAGATGTCAGTCCTATAGGTGTAACTCTTTTGCCTTAAATCTCCCTTTTTTCCAAAATTCCCTATTACTTAGTCAGGGGTACCATTATCCTTTCTATCTTCCAGGCTCTCAGCCTTGATGTGTTCCTGGTCTTCTCACTTTTACCCCTCATATTCAGTTAGTTGTCAGCTCTTGTCATTTCTTCCTCACAACATTCCTCAAATTTGTCCCTTTCTGTTAATTCACATAGCCACCATTCTAGTTGAAGCTCTTAAAGGCATTTTTCACCTGGACTGCTAATGATGAGAGGTAAAATGACTTGGCTAAAGTACTCTACTCATCTTTTTTTATTCCCCTCCCCCCCCCACTACTAATCCACTCCTTCCCTGGTCATAGTCCTGCTATTTCTGTATTTTTAAATAGTGGTTCAGAAATTCAAATCCTTACCTGATATGCCTTTTTTAAAACCATCGTTTACTTCCCTAATCTGCCTTTCTGTCCTGAGATCTATCTCTGCTTTTGATGTGCAGCAGTGATGAAAGTGCAGTATATGCCTGTAATGTTTTCTTGTTCTTGCCCAAGGCTTCTTTTTACTATTAGCAATGCTTTCTAAATTATTTTTGGCGCTATCATTTGTGCTCATGTGATTAAACACAAAGTATATAATAGTAACATGATTTGGCAAATCTTGAGAAATTTTCTATCAAATCTGGGATTCTTCTCTTTGGGAGATAGCAGGCCTTATATATTGATTGATTGATAGCTTGACAAATAGCTGCCTCATTACTACTCTTGTTAATCAGAGATTAGATACTCTCTGACAAGACTTAGGGATTTATATCATCTTTTTTTTTCTTTTTTTAAAATTAATTAATTTATTTTTAGTTTTCAACATTTACTGCCACAAGGTTTTGAGTTCCAAGTTTTCTCCCCATTTTGTCCCTTCCCCCATCCCAAGATGGCATGCATTCTGAGTACCCCTTCTCCTAATCTTCCCTCCCCTCTATCTCTCCCCCCCTTCTCTTATTTCCTTCCCCTTCAATTTTCCTGTAGGGCAGGATAGATTTCTATAGCCCATTTGCTGTATATCTTATTTTCGAGTTGCATGTGAAAATTTTTTTTAACATGTGTTTTTAAAACTTTGGATTCCAAATTTTCTCTCTTCCTCCCCACTCACCCTCACAGAGAAGGCAAACAACTCAACATGGGTTATACACGTTACATCATCTTTTCTTAGTGGACAGGTAGTTGCTTTCTCAGAAGATTTACCATTCCTCTGTTGGTAGAACTTCATGGCTGTCTAATGTTCAATTTGAGGTCCTTTTTCTTTTCCTCATAGATTCATAGATCTAGAGCTGGGAAGCTAGAGGAAGCTAGATAACTAGAACTAGAAGGGGCTTCAAAGGCCATCTAGTCCAGTGGCCCAGGGTAGTTAAGTGATTTTCTCAAGGTCACTCAGGTAGTAAGTATCAGAGGCAGAATTAGAGTCCAAGTCCTCTTGACTCCAGAACTGGTGCTTATATGGAGTCACACTTTTAAAGGTCAGGATTCCCCTTTATCTTTTTTTTCTTTTTTGTTTTCATTTTCCTTTTCTTAAACTTCTCATGTTCCCTGATAACCTGGAGGTGGTGGGGCATTTTTTAGAGTCCCTTTTCCTTCCCTTCTAGGAAGGAGACTAGTACTGTAAAGTTAACAACTGCTTGCTGTGGCAGAAAAACAATCACAGCAGTCAGGTTAGGTTTATATCAGAGATGGCAGTCACTTTGTCAGAGGACAGAGAGAAACATATACATGACATATTACAAAGGTAGAATCAACAGCACTTGGCAATTAACTGGATATAGGGGGTGAGTGAGAGTAGTCGAGGATGACACCTTAAGTTGGTAACCTG